TGTGTGTGTGTGTGTGTGTGGTGAAATACTGAACCAATATGCCAGTGTCTGGACAAGAAAGATTTATCTCATCTCATCTCATCTCATCTCTGTTCATCTCATATCATCTCATCTCATCTCATGTCATCGCATTTCATCTCATTTCTTTTTATCATGTCTTGTCTTGTCTTGTTTTTGTCTTGTATACACACTCATACCCACAGACAAACAGACAGGCAGGCATACAGGCAGAGAGGCAGACAGGCAGACAGACAGACAGACAGACAGACAGACAGACAGACAGACAGACAGACAGACAGACAGACAGACAGACATAAACACAGACAGAATGATAGGCAGACAAACAGACATAAACACGGACCGACAGACAGACAGACATAAATACAGACAGACAGACAGGCAGACAAACAGACATAAACACAGACAGACATTATTACAAACATCTGCAAAAGTCCAAAGCCGAAAGGGCCAAAGGGCGTACCTTGCAGTATCGAATTCAAGATGGCGAGATCAATGTCTGTGGCGGAGTTGACGTGGTCCATTTCAAAGACCGAGACTTTGTCGTGGTAGCTGCAGATGGAGAACACTTGCTGCATGGACGTGTCCAGGTTCTTGACCGGAAGTTTGGCCCGATCCCTCATCATCTCCCGAATCTTGGAGCGGGTGTCGGCGTCAAGGAATGCTATGCGGCTAGAAGGGAAAACGTTCTTTTGTAGCTGTCGGTGATGTTCTGCTGTACTTATTGGTAAACTGTTATTGCAGCTAGTAATGAAGTTCTACTGTAGTAATCGGTAATGTGCTATTGCAGTTATTGTTAAAGTTCTATATCAGTTATTGGTAAGGTTTGGCTGTTGCTATTCATGCAGCTCTACTGTCGCTATTGGTAAAGTTCTTTTGATCTTATTGGATAAGTCCTATTGCACAAATTTAGCTATTGGTGGAGTTATACTGTTGTTATTAGTAAAGTTTTGCTGTAGCTACTGGTGAAGTTCGATTGTACTTTTTGGTACCGTGCTATTGTTGCTTTTGATAAAGTTCTATAAATGTTTTTGGTGAGGCTTTTACTTTTGGTAGAGACCGTCCTGTCGAGACACTCACAGAACTTGTCTGTCAAATGTGGGAAAGTAGAAGTATTCTCAAGGGGTACATGGATGTCATCATAATTTACCTGTACAAAAACAAAGGTGACAGGCAATCATGTGAACATGACAAAGGTACATCCCTCTTGTCTATAACTGGTAAAATCCAAGCCTGTATTCTTCCTAATCGCACGCGAAAGCATCTCTCTTCAAATGACGCCTTGCGTGAACGTCACTGTGGTTTCCTCACTAAAAGGGGCATAGTAGATATGACCTTAGCAGCCAGGCAGATCCAGGAAAAGTGCATAGACCAGAATTAAGCCTTATACATAACCTCAGTAGATCTAATAAAAGCATTAGATACCGTTTGTCGGGAAGGCTTTTGGAAAATCCAGACGAAGTACAGTTGCCTGTAAAAATTCATTACTATGGTGCGCCAAGTTCATGACGACATAAAAGCCAGTGTCAAGACCAATGCCAAAATGTCTGAAACATTTTGAGTGACAAATCGCGTGAAGCAGGGATGTGTGTTGGTGTCAACACTTTTCAGCATCACGTTCTCAGTCTTGACGCATGAAGTGTTCCAGAGCTCTCCTGCGGGTGTTTTTACCAGGTGCACACTGGAGGGCAAAGCCTTCAACTCCCGTAGACTGCAGACTAAGACCAAATCTACGTACAATGATGCATGTCTGCGAACTGCTATTTGCCTATGATTGTGCATTACGTGTTCATGAATAATCCAGCATGCAAAACTGTTGATCTCTTTTCAAATGCATGTGAGAACTGTGGACTCCCAAAAAGCACAGTAAAGACAAACGTTCTCTTCCTGCCTGTCATCGGTGATACGCAAATCCTTCCTTCTAAAACTAAAATGCATGAAACATCAATGAACAATGTTGATAGCTTTAAATATCTTGCCAGTACACCATCTTCAAATACTCACATTGATGCAGAAATAGCTTTAAATCTACGTATGAATAAAACTAGTCCATCCATTAAACGACCCAGAGCATGGGTTGGGAACTGCTGTGGCATTTGCATAGAGGCAAAGTAGAAAGTCTGCCTTGTTGTTTTCCTCCCAACCTTGTTGTACGGTGCTTAGACGAGGGAAATGTACCAAAGCCATGCCAAGAAACTTAATTATTTCCACAAAATACCTCAGGCGAATTCTTGTCGTCAAATGATAGGATAAAAATAAAAGACACCGAAGTTCTTAAAAAGGTAAATACCGACAGTCCTTTTTCTAAACTCTAAATGCTTGACTCTTCAGGATTCAAGTAAGCAGGGCTGGCCTTGTCGTAAGATTGCCTTATTTCAGAATCCCAAAGGCAATATTTAATTTTGAACTGACTCCAGGAAAGCGTGAAGTTGGCGCACAAAAAAGCGCTATAAAACACCCCCTGAAAATGTCTCTGAAGGACTACAATGTAAATATTTCGACAAAGGAGACAGACCCAGCTGGAGAGCAGCAGTCACAGTGGGAAGCAAGTCACATGAGGCTTCACGAATAAGAATTCTGAAACAAAGTGAGAAGTCTACAAGCTGCGCACATCATCAAATGGAAGTGGAGCTTTTGAATGCTCAGTGTGTGGCGAACTTTTCTCCTCCTGAATTGGTTTCATCTGCCGCAGCAGGAGACATATTATTAATATGTCATTTTAACCTTTACTTTTTCATTTCAATTTCGTTTGAGAAATATTTTCCTCTGCAGACGCATTGGTCACCTTCAGACATTGGCGGTTGAACTATTATAATAATTGACAAAGTTTTATTGCATTTACTAGATCTACGGAAATTCGATTGTGATTATTGGTAAAGTTCTATTGTAGCAATTGATAAATTGGCAAAGTCGTTTCTTTAACTCTCTCAGGAGTGTCTGGCAACTACCAGGACACATCTCATGTGTGCAGGGTACGTAGATGATGTCCCAACATGGTAGGAAAAGCCAAGAATTAAGAGAAACATCCGCCCCCCCCCCCCCAAAACAGAAAAAACCCTCACAAAAAAACAGTAACGTAAGTATGGCTTTGACGCTACTATTAACACTATTAGGTTATTCAAGAGGCGGAACCTCCACGTTTAACGCATGTCTCCAATGGGACAGAGCAAAATGAGTTGAGGACTTTGAAAACGTCACAAAACAATCCGAGTTCAAGAACACCAAGTTTGGAATTCGAACCAAGGCCATTCGCCCTGTAGTTCAGCATGATACCAACTGAGCTAACAGAGCACTCCCAAAAAAATAGAATAGAGGAACATTAATTTCGAGCTGGTGATGATAATGATAATCATGAGAACTGTGTGCAGGATTATTGTTTATATTAATTTGTTTGGTCGTTACATTATGCTTACACAAGAACCAGATGTACGCTGGGCAGACGTGTAGCGCGTGTCCTGGACAGAAATAGGAACTACCCGTCTGGAGTTACAGTATAAAAAGTCTTGGACGAAACTGAGTTATCGATTCCATCTGTTAGTTTAAAACACGGTGCACATTTCTGTCATAGTCTGGTATCGATATCGTAATTATTGAGACGTGGAAAACGTTTTGGAGATATTCAATGAAACTGGCTGTTGAGAGGCTAAGATGCTTTTTTTGGCTCTCCTGACCTTGTTACGAAACCGGATATTCTGTCTTTTAAAATAAAACTCCAACCTTGACCCATTCCGCTGGAACTCTTTACGTGCGTAAATAAATAAATAAATAAATAAATAAATAAATAAATAAATAAATAAATAAATAACTCGCCCCCTTACCTTGTCGTTTTCTCGCCTCGATCGTCGTAAATATTCTTCTGCTCATCAAACTTCAAATTCTGGTAAGCAAAAGCCAGAATGTCAGCGACTCTTCCGGAGCCCTGGCAACAAAACACACGGACGTCCTCATGTTCAGGGAAACGAGGGGGTGAGGGAAGGGAGGGGGCAGGGGAGAAGGGGGGTCGTGGGTGAGGGCAGGGGAGAAGGGGAGTGATGGGGTTTGGAGGTTGGAGGGAAAGGGGAGAGTGGTGGGGTTGGGAGGGTGGAGGGGACAGGGGAGGGTAGGAGG